TTTTTTTTCAATTATTTTTTTTCAATTATTTTTTAATTAATTTTTTAATTTTTTTTTCAAATAAATTCCAAAAACAAGTTGGAAGTAGTTAGAGTTGGTTTGACAATGATATTCTTAGGGCCTGTTTGGTAACCATTTCATCTTCAGTTTATATTTACAAAAATTTTAAAAACTGTCATAAAAACTTGTTTGATAATTTTTTTGGTTTATAAATGGTTGTCTCAGTTTATAAATTTGAGGAAAAAATGTAAATTCAAAAAATGAGTTTACGTTTTCAGTTTTCAATTTTTTTTTCAATTAATTTTTTTTTTCAAATAATTTATTTTCAATTATTTTTTTTTCAAATTTTTTTTTTCAATTAATCTTTTTTTTTCAATTATTTTTTTTCAAATATTTTTTTCCCAATTAAATTTTTTTCAATTACTTTTTTAATTAATTTTTTAAATTTTTTTTCAATTAATTTTATTTTCAATTATTTTTTTTAATTAATTTTTTTTTTCAAATATTTTTTTCCCAATTAATTTTTTTTCAATTATTTTTTTAATTGATTTTTTTCATTTTTTTCCCAATTAAATTTTTTTCAACTATTTTTTAATTAATTTTTTTCAATTATAATGTGTATGACCCCATTGTCATAAATAATAAAAATAAATATAAATATTTTAGGCTTGAACCAACATATTTTTTAGTTTATATTTTTAAATTTTTTTAAATATTTTGTTCAAACCAAACGTATTTATAATTTATATTATTCTAAAAATAAATAAAAATCAATTTATAAAATTTTTATAAATATAAACAAAAAATATAAACGTTATTAAATGTTACCTTAGTAATTTTTTTTGTTATTTAAAACAGATAGTGAATTTGTTTAATATAAAATTTAACTTTTGAACTACTAGACCTATAAAAAATGAAAACAAAAATACTAACTAAAGGAACAAAATTCAAAAAATATCGCGAGACATTGAAATCACGGGGTTTAATAACGGAAATATGCTTGGGTCCGAAGCAAAAGTCGAACGTTCTCATCGGATTCCCATAGAGCCCATGGACGGTTTTCCAATGCAACATGGAACACCACAGTGCCCTAGTCCCACACCCATTCCCAGAAGTCAAGAAATACCACCGAATTGTGGAAAATCATTGGTTAATGGTAGGATACCACGGGATCATACTTGAGAGGGTAATTTTTGGGAAAAATTAGGCCGAGTTTCGAGTTGGGTTTTGAGGTCCAAAACGCAGAGGACTAGGTAAAAAGGCCGTACTGAATACTCCGGCTTAGAAGGCAATGTTACTCCGGCCTTGGGGAGACAAAGTTACTTCGGCCTAAGGAGGTGAGTTTATTCCGGCTCAAGAAAAGATAGTTGCTTCGGCCCAAGGAGGAGTAAAGCTACTCCGGTCCAGAGGCAACTCGGAGTTAGACCGGCCTCAGAGTTAGTCCGGTCGCAATATGTTCTGGGAAGACCGGCTTCGAAATTAGTCCGGTCGTGACATACTCTGGTTAGGTCAGTCAGAACTTGCTACTTGGAAGTTTGATCTAAGCATACCAAGGTTGAACAGGGGCAGCCGAAGTAATGAGTTAAAGGAGAAGACCGAGCTAAGGATAGTTCGGCCTTCTCTGTGGCTCAGCATAGCCAGTGTTATTTCGGTCGTGTGGTAGTTCGGCTATGGAGAAAACCATCCCACTTGGTTTAAGCAGTGGGGGAGGGTGTAAAAGGATAAGCATTATCCTTTGGAGTATGAATCCTAGGAGGACTCTGCATGGAGAAATACAAGTCCTACCAGGATTGTGCCACGGGAAACTTATAAAAGCCTACAAGCATCACCTTGGAGGAGGTAATTGAACACAATCTTTCTGAGAACTTAGAACTTTGTCTATTTGTCAAGTTTTCTGACTTAGGCATCGGAGAGGTTTCCGGCACACACCCGCCGGCTAGCTCACGTTTGTGTTTTCAGGTGACAAAGCGACGTCGTACAGAGGAGCGTGGACTTGGTCAACAGGATTATACGAGGAGAATTATTTCCTCCCCGTACAATACTGTACATTAATCATAATTTATTATATTCTTTCATATTTTTTAATCATCAAATATAAATTTGTAAATTTTATCATTTTTACTAATTTCAATACTATTAAGATATAATATGTCAGTGTCTCGATACCAAGAAATAACTTCTTTCAAACTGTTCATTCTCTGTATAACTAATGTCATAAATTTTTGTTTGGTTGTAAATTTCAGAATTAATTTTAAAATGATAATAATAATTTGACAAAAATAAATTAATTAGTACTTTGTCATATAAAAATAAATTAATAATAATTTTTATCATATAAAAATGATAAATGATTTTCATTTATTACTTTGTTCACTAAATTAGTATTTATTTATCTTTTAATTTAAAAAATAGATTTTAAAAACCAAATAGAGATTAATCTCATAAAATATAATTTGGAAAATTAGGATTAAGTTGAAATTAAACATTTTATGAATAAATTAATTCAATAGAGAATAGTTTCGAGAGAAAAAATGTAGGCTAACATTACTCTTGGTATTTTTTTTTATAACTAAGAGTGAAATTTTTTAACATAACAAGTTAACACAAAATGAACAAAACACAGTCGAAAAATAACATGACATGATGCTATAACATAAAAAATAAAATAGGTAAAGTTATTGTAAAGTAATAATGATATAAATTTAAAATGATATGACATGATCCTTAACACCTGATTAGGGACTCATAAATTTTGATAAACTTCAGGGCCTATATGACCATCTTTGTAGTCTTACATAAGAGCAGATCCTATTTTAGATTTAGGATTTTCAAAGGTAAGAAGAAGAAAAGAAGAAACCTACATGGTGGTATGGAGTGGATGACTTTTAGATATAGATTTTTAGACGGGGAAGAAAAAAAATTAAAGTGATGAGGTGGTTCATAGTAAAGAACAGAGGTCATGTTTGTTTGGGTGGACATGAGCTTGGGATTGGACTAATAGTTCAATAAAATTATTAATCCGATGTTTGGTTAAACAATGGATTCATTATTTTAAACTTGACTATTAGTTAAGATAGGATACATAATCCAACGGATTCGTTATCTTAGGACTATTAGTCATGGGAATGCTAATCCAGTCCGCCTAAACAAACATGACCAGAAGGTCTTAGTGATGTAGAAGGTGAAGAATAGAGGAGGGATTGCAATGGCTCTTAGCCAAGGGGAGGGGAAGTAGTGGTGAAGGGAATGACACTAAAGCTAAGTTTGGTATCTTTAAAAAAATTTAAAAAGTCAAAAAGTCACTATCCTATTTAAGTTATATCATCTTATTTAAGTCACATCACCTCTCTATCACATCATTTCAAACCCAATCTATACCCAACCTATATTTTATAAAAAGTCAAAAAGTGCACTTATTTAGAACATCCCAAACAATCCCTAAGAAGGGAGTGGAGTGGTGCCACCGATACAAGTACAATTGGCTGTGGTGAAGAGAGGATGGTTTCATTTTCATAGTTAATTTTTGGGAGCAGCTTGCATTCAGTTTTTAATCGGATTAGACGGTGTTATTTGATCTGTAAGAGTCCATCATGGGTTCTGTTTTGATAATTCGAACTGTTCAATGTGTATAACTCGTCGAATACTATATGATTGTAAAAAATTAGGTTGATCAGATATCGATAATTATGTGATCAAATCAGTTTGTATAAAAAAATGAACGGTGAATAATTAACGGTTGACAAAAAAACTGAAAAGATGAGACAACTATCGATATCCGATAAACCTGATTTTTTATAGGCATATAGTACTCGACGAGTTTTACATATTAAATGGTTCGGATTATAAAAAAAAAAGACCCATGGTGGGCCCCGACGAGCCAAAAAATACTGTCAAGTCCAATTAGGGACAGAAAGCAAACTGCTCCCTTAATTTTTTGTTTTTTTAGAATAAAAAATTATTTTTACAAAAAAAAAAACATGTGAAAATGATGATTTTTTTTAGGAAAATTTACCCATAAGTCCTAGTTTCTGAAAAGTTGAACCATTTAGTCCTAAAAGTTTTCTTATGTCCCATTTAGTCCCATTTGCACATCAATCTAATGTTCGAAACATTAATTTGATGTTCAAAATCTAATGTTCGAAACATTAATATGATGTTCGAAATCTAATGTTCGAAACATTAATCTGATGTTTGAAACATTGTAATGGGACCTTTCAGTCTATAAGAAAACTTTTAGGACTAAACAGTGTATAAGTTATTAATTTGAGATTTTACTGTCAAGTCCAATTAGGGACAGAAAGCAAACTGCTCCCTTAATTTTTTGTTTTTTTAGAATAAAAAATTATTTTTACAAAAAAAAAACATGTGAAAATGATGATTTTTTTTAACACCAAATTAATTTGTATTTTTTTGAACTTTACTGTTCTAGAAAACTAAACCAAACGGTTGAAAAAGATGTGTAATAGAATTTTCAATCTTTAATATTTTCTTTCATTAAATTTAAATTTGATTAAACAGTGATAAAAAAAATTATTTCCAATATTTTTATCATCTATTTATTAAATCAACAAATGATTATTTATTTTGATCAATTTGAAAATTTATCAAATATTTTATTAAATTTGAAAAAGATTTTGTAAAAAATTTAATAAAAAAATTGAAGTAATATCAAAGTTAATTTTTTATTCAAACATAAAATCAAATTAAATTGAAAAAAATAATAAAAATTTGGAAATATATACTTTTAAAAAATAAAATAAAATCATTGCGTAAATGGAAGGCACCACCTAGTAACTCTATTCAAATCATCATCAACACAGATCAACACTCGCTGGCTCCGACGAAAACCGCGTTTCATTATTTATTTACCGTCTTAACCGTGATGACGGAGATACAGAGAAATACAGAGAGGGAGAGAGGTGAAAACAATTTGACGACACAAGACGTGACGGAAGGTTTTCTCTGTGCAACTTGGACTAACGTATTCCCAAAACAGACAACACAACCGCAAACCAAACAGCGAACAGAGAAACAAAAAAGAAAGAAACACAAACGTAAACGGAGACTCCTTTCCTTTATCTCCCCCCCTCTTCATTATCCCTTCTCTCAATCGATCCCTTTCTCTCTCTATATCTACACCTCCCCCAATATATATATATATACCCCGGTTCGCCGGCGAACATTACATCGGTTTTCCGACCGAAACCCTAACACCATTTCAATTGTAAATCTTTAAATTATTTTTTAAATTAAAAAAAAAATTCTTTTCTTGTGAAAAAATATTTTTTTGTATTTTAGGTTTGATTTTGGTTTGGTTTTGTTTGATTTGGTAGATAGTACACGGAAAAGAAGGTTTGAAATTTGTTGTTTCTGGACGTGTATTCACTTGTTTGTTATTGTAAGGGAACAAATTTTTTTTAAAAAAAAATAAAATTTGGAGATAGAACACGACGGGGAATTGAAGCGTTTTTGTTCTGATTCGGAGTTTCAGTTCGTGCGTTTTGGGGGTTTGCGAAGTTTTTTGATTTTTTTTCTAGGTGTTGGGTGGAGATGGAGACACCTGTGAACTGAGGCTTGTGAATTTTCTAGGGCTTTTTCTTGTTCTTCTTTGTGGGGAGGGCATATAAAGGGACACAGTTTATGGTTATGATCGGTGTTAGAGAGAGTTTGGAGAATCAGAGGGTTTTGATTTCTGGGTTCTCTGTGTTGTTGTTTGGGTTCTGCTGTCGTTGCGGATGAGGAATGATGGCAAGAAACCGCAGGGACTTGTGCCGCGGCCTGGACGGACCAACGGGCTTATCCCGACTTCGTTTCGTGCTCTCTCCAGTTACTTGAGGATCGTCTCGTCCGGTGCTTCCACTGTTGCTTCCACTGTGAAGTCGGCAGCATCGGCTGCTTCGGCCATTGTGGACAGGGATAATAATGATGCCAGCCACGATCAGGTCCGAGTTTAAATTGATTTCATATTTATTATCAATACAGTGATGTATATGGCAACTTTATTTTTAGATAATGATTGAAATGAAACTAGTGTAATTTTCTCCTGAAATGATGATCCTATGCAATTATTGTTTCATGGGTTGAATCTTGAATAAGTATGTGGCCATTAGTTTCTGCTTTCAATTCTTTAATCATCTTAATTAGTTGTAAAGATTATATACCTATTAAATTATGGTAAAATTCTGTTATTGATCTGGTACCGCTAGAAAAATAGAGTAAGAATATTATAGGTTAGCAACCTAGATTATGAGGATATGAACCTGGATTATTACATGGTGGATATGTAATACAATACATGGAAGTTGTTAAGAATGGTAAGACATTGCATAGGAGTTCCATAACTGAAAACTAGAGAGCCAAGAAATAATCTATGGCATTTGATTATTGTTATATAACCTAGTACAATAGATTAAGAAAAGTGAAGATCGAAATTATGCAAAATGATCGTTTCTGGATGAAATTGCTGTGCATGCAAGTTTTGTTTGTTTTTGTTGGGCAACCTTCATTCAGTCCAATTGTTTGTCAAGAAGGTTAAGTCTTAATACTTCAGGGTTTTTGCAGGATGATTGACCAATTGATGATTTTCTTCTTACAATTGCAAGAGCACTTACACGTGCTTTGTTAAATATTGGTCAATTTTGTTGTATTATTCTGTTTGTTCGAGTTATTTGAGGATCTAATTTATGATATTTCTAAGTGCACTTTTCATGTGTTTATATAAACAGTCCACTGGACTTCGAGATGCATGCATTTGAGTTGACTTGTTGAGACTTTATTAGATTTTGAAGTGGACTTACCTTGTTTTTCTTGATAAGAGGACAAATATGAAGATACCTGCGGTTTAGTTGAGTTGTCGAGATATATTTATTAGGTTTGCACGTGGTTTTACCACCTGCTTGATTTGATAATTGGACAAAATTTCAATACACAAGCACTTTGATTGTGCTATCGAGATAAATGCAGAACTTTTGCACGTGGAGATACTATGTGTTTGTTCTGATAATCCGACAAGTTTTCTGCTGGTTGACTCACTGGAGATTCATCATATTTGTTAGTGGACTTTGCCACGTATATGTTTCAATAATCAGACAATTTTAGAGGTGTGTCATTTGTTGCTAGTGAGCTGTTTGGTTCTTGTAATTGGACACCTTTGACTCTTCTACCGTTGGTTTTTTAATCTTTTATTTATTATTATGTTTTTGGATGTCACATGAAGTGGGTGATTTTAGTTTGTTCTGTTGACACTGTATTGTTTTGTTAAGTTTATTGTTTTTTTCTTTTGGCCACAAGGTCTCAACCTTTCAAGTGACTTTCTTTGCATAGTTCTCAACTCATTAGTTCTCATACAAAGCATATGACCATAAGGCTTGTATACAACTTTCTTTTAAATTTACCCTTTAAAATCTATATATGAAAGCAAAAGAGGATTCACAAATAAATTCTTACACCAAAAATGAATAATTAAGCAATAAAGACATTTTGCGATTTCGTATTCCACTGTGGTGTTGAATGGACTGTTAATGGCGATGCACAGAGAAGTTATAGGTATGGGTATGCTTTACATTTGGAATAGATGATCTATCCCAAGGGTTCTTCACCTTGTACTTTCACGTCTACATTGAGTATACATCATCTCTGTGCATGTCCACGTGCATGGGCAACAATATTTATGAGTGGTTTATTATAGTTAAAGTGCAAGCAGTCTTTCTCTCTTTGAGAATTAATTCTTCTGAGGTTCATTTTCACTATAAATTCATGTATTTGAGATCTAGGAGGGGAGATGACTTATTTGGTTCTTCATTTTTACAAATAAAAGGTGCTCTGGGCTGGGTTTGACAAGTTAGAATGCAAGGGGGGCATCACCAGGCAAGTTCTCTTGCTGGGCTATCGGTCTGGTTTTCAAGTTTGGGATGTTGAAGAAGCAGATAACGTGCGTGACCTTGTTTCCAGACATGATGGTCCAGTTTCATTTATGCAAATGTTACCTAAACCAATAGCATCAAAGATAATTGGCGACAAATTTGTAGATAGTCGCCCACTACTGGCTGTTCGCACAGATGTCCTTTCTGGAGTTCGGGATACAATAGCAACTCCATATAATGGGAGCACCTCAAATTGCCATGATCCACTGAATGGTGGTCTTATGCCAACTGTTGTTTCGTTTTATTCCTTGAGATCTCAATCTTATGTACATGAGCTTAAGTTCAGATCAGTTGTTTATTCAGTGAGGTGCAGCACCCGAGTTGTTGCCGTCTTACAAGCAGCTCAGGTACATTCAATCATATACTTTTCAAGCATTCATATCTTCTCTCATATCAGAGCATGAAAGTGGAGTTTTGTGTGCTACAGATACACTGTTTTGATGCTGCTACGTTAGAGAGGGAGTATACTCTCCTTACAAATCCAATAGTTACTGGGTGTTCTGGATTTGGAGGTATAGGCTATGGACCTCTTGCAGTGGGACCCAGATGGTTGGCTTACAGTGGAAGTCCAGTTGCAGTTTCAAATGCTGGGCGTGTCTGTCCACAACATCTTACCCCGTCTGCAAGTTTTTCTGGTTCTTCTTCAAATGGGAGCCTCGTTGCACACTATGCAAAAGAGTCAAGCAAGCAACTTGCTGCTGGGATTGTGACCCTAGGGGACATGGGATATAAGAAGCTGTCAAGATACTATTCTGAGCTCTTACCTGATAGCAACAATTCTGCCCAATCAGGGAGTCCTGGCCTTAAAATCAATGGGACTGTCAATGGCCATTTTCCAGATGCAGAAAATGTTGGAATGGTATATATTCTTTTTCTCAAGTTTGTTTCCACTTGTGTTGTGGTTGTAACCATTTTTAGCTGCTCTCTCTCTCTCTCTCTCTCTCTCTCTCTCACACACACACACACACACACACGATAATGTCTTATCATGAATGCGGCTTTTCTAGCCTTGCTTCAGTCAAAACACAGTTCTGCTTTATAGAAATTTTGAGTGTTACATTTATTTGTTTCTGCCCTTATTTGAATTGGCGTCTTAGGATGAATATTTATCTCAATTATTGATCAGCACCTGATTTTCTCTGAGTTGTGCTGTTTTGGCTTTCTTGTGATGAAGTTACCTGTGAAGGGAACTGATTCTAACTTGATCCATTTGTCTCAATACATGTATCATTGTGGGAATTTACATTTTAAAGTCTTTTTGTTCTTACTATAACCTTTATTTTTCAGGTCATTGTCAGAGATATTGTCAGTAAAGCTGTTATCACCCAATTTAGGGCACATAAAAGTCCCATTTCATCGTTATGTTTTGATCCTAGTGGGATGCTTTTGGTGACGGCTTCAGTTCAGGGCCATAACATAAATGTATTCCGAATAATGCCTGGACTATCGGGAAATTCATCTGGATCAGATTTTGGTGCATCTTATGTACATCTTTATAGGCTACAACGTGGTTTTACAAATGCAGTAAGGCATTATATTTGTTTCATCTTTTGGCTTTAATGTGGAATTTCTAGCAAATATAAATTTTCTAATCTTTATTATTATTATTATTTTCTAGGTTATACAGGACATCTGTTTCAGTTATGACAGCCACTGGATTATGATAAGTTCCTCAAGAGGGACAAGCCATCTGTTTGCTGTATCTCCTTCAGGGGGTTTAGTTAATTTTCAGTCTTTTGATGCTTGTTTTACCGATAAAAATTGTGGATCAGGTGTTATGACTAAGCCTGCTGTACATTGGCCACCAAATTCAAGTTCACAGATGTTTAATCAACAGAACCTTTGTGCATCTGGTCCTCCTGTTACCCTTTCTGTTGTTAGCAGAATAAGGAGTGGAAACAATGGTTGGAGAAGCACCGTAACTGGTGCTGCGGCCGCTGCAACAGGGAGGATGAATTCACTTTCTGGGGCTATCGCTTCTGCTTTTCACAATTGCAAGGGCAATGATTTGCGTGCAGGTGCAAGCTCCTTGAAGGCAAAGTACCATCTCCTGGTTTTCTCTCCTTCTGGCTGTATGATACAATATGCGTTGCGGGCATCTTCTGGGCTTGATTCTGCCGCAGTTGTGTCTGGATTAGTTTCGTCTTATGACTCGGCTCCTGAAAGTGACGCAAGATTATTAGTTGAAGCAATCCAAAAGTGGAATATTTGTCAGAAACAGAGTCGAAGAGACAGAGAAGATAATACTGACATCTATGGTGAAAATGGATATTCAGACAGTAGTAAAATATTTCCTGAAGTAATAAAAAGGGAAAATAGTGGCTACCTTGAGGCTAGGGGTTCAGTTGGGAAAGTAAATATCAGTCCTGAGGACAGACATCATCTATTTATTTCTGAAGCTGAATTGCAGATGCATCAACCGCGGGTCGCATTGTGGGCAAAACCTGAGGTATTCTTCATGATGTGCAGAGAAGACTTCAATTTGTATTTGTTTTGCAAAATATGCATGTTTATTGGTGTGACAAGTGTGAATTAGTTCTTGTATTTTTAGCAGATATACTTCCAGTCTATGATAATGGATGACATCAAAATAGATGTGGATGATGCATCTGGAGGGGAAATTGAGATTGAGAGGATTCCTACTCGCATGATTGAAGCAAGGTCAAAAGATTTAGTTCCAGTTTTTGACTATCTTCAAACTCCCAAATTCCAGCAGGCGAGGTGTGCTGAGTTTCTTTTATTCCTTTTTATTCAGTAATTTCATTTTGTTTATTTTACCTGTGTTTTCGCTTTGTTGTTACTGTTTTTTGCACTTTTGTTGTTTAGTATGCCATTCTACGTGTTTCTGAAATAACATATTCCTTTTCCTTCTTTCTTTCTAGGACTCCTGCTTCAACTAGCAATACTAATAATGGGCGTCTGCTGCGTCAGACATCTGGGATGTCTGAAAATGGCAGGCTTTCGTGCAGGAGCAGCTCCGGCTCTCTCGACTCATATACTGATGGTGGTGTTACAGTCACTGAATTTCACAGAGCCATTGAAGAAACTAGGTGGGGAGGTTCGCATATGCCCACAGAAACAACCAAGGGCTTTGTAAATAATGACAGCCCAAAATCAAACACTCAGTTTGGGATTGTAAATAATAGAGAGAGCTCAATGATGGAGGCCCAAACTAAGTTTGTAAATAACAACATAGGCGGCCGAAAAATGGGGAATCAATTCAAAGATGAAGACGATGAGTTTGATTAGAGGTAAACTTCTACATTTCATGGCTTATACTGTTTGTAGGATCTAAGTTATTTGGTTTCTGGTCTTTTTCGATTGTTATGAGTTAATTGTATTTTAATATTTCACAGGTGCGCAGCTACTACTCTTTTGTTATCCCAGAAGGTTGCTTTAACAGTGTTAAAATTGTGGGTGTAAGTGTAGAGGAGTGAGTGAGTGAGGTGAAGTATGCTTGACCACAATGCAGAATTGTGGATAGTATGTTGTTCGGGTATGATCTTCTTCTGTTGACTCTGTAAATAACAGACACAATATATATAATGTTCCAATAATCAGCTGTAATATGTAAATAATAGCGTCACCTTCCAACTCTTTATTGCCGTTATTCTATTAATTTGAATTTTATTTGTTACTACTATCTTTGTGCACTTTAATTGGGAGGTGTTAAAAATTTCAATAGTTTCATATTTGGGTGCATTCTTTGTCAAGTTGCGTGGTCCATGTGGATTTAAGCACAAATTTAATGGTTGTATGTTTTTGTATTTATTTTTCTTTTGTGGGAACTTATATATAGTATTAAAAGGAGACAATTTCCAACAGAAAAAAAAAAAAATGTAAAAAGAGAAAGGAGATGATTTATTAATGCTTTCAACTCAGAGTTTTGGACAAGCAATGAATTAGAAAATAGGAAAGAAAAATTATTGGAAAGAGTTTTAGGTCAGGTTACTGTAGTATATCTGAAGTGGATTTGACTTTTTTTTTTTATTATATCCTTTTGTCATTCTTTTTACTATTTCAAGAATGAATATTTAGATTAAGGTATGTGGTTTTGATGTTTGTGTATGGCACGTTATAGCATTGCTTTTAACCAGTTAAAATAGTTGTAAATTAGAGTTTGGACCATGACGGATGATTAATTGGTAGATTCATTTAAGAGTGGTCCTTATTGTCTGGGGAATTTTTAGAGAAAAGTTAGAGATCATGAAAATGATCATGGAAGATTTATGATCCTTTGATTACCTTGATTAGTGTGTGGTGCTTTATTCTAAGTGTAATCCAAGGGTCACAAAATTTTTATGATTATTTTCATGAAATGTTTTTCATGATACCTAGCATTGTTGAAATTTTTACTCCTATTTTTAGTGAAAACTACCCTAATTTTTTATTTTAACTATGTTAGTTTTTCCAAAATGTTTTTGTTTTTCTTAGGGAAGTAAAATGAAATTCTTTTGAGCAGCTGTAAAATTTCTCGAATTAAGCGCTGGTGACATTTAAAGAAGTGAAGGACCACAAAAGGAAACAAACAATCACAAATCAAAAGATCATGTCATGCACAACCAGAGTTTTGAATTGCCTAGGGACTGAGTTTGGTCTATTCAATTATTCCTGTAACTTCCAATTCCAACACTTTTATCTTTTCTCATATCCTTCATAGGCTTTGCAATGAATCCTTCAACCTGTTGCTTAAGGAGGTTCTGTGCCTAGTGTTGCCAGTGGTGAAATAGAATACAGTTTTAACGGGCGTATTAGGATTTAGGATCTCAAAAATCCAGAGGAACTTCATGTTCCATTTTCCAAACAAAGCAAGTTTGCCTCCGTTTGGGAAGTGGGTTGGCTTTTTGGTTTTTTGACTATTTTAGCCTGGTTTGGGAAGGACTTTTTGACTTTTTTCACTTTTTTTGTGAGAGAGGATTGTAATGATTATGGGTTGGATTTGATGTTTTGTTTTTTGTGGCTAAAATAGCCTATTTTGTTTTTTGTGACTATTTTAGTCAAAAAAAACCTGACTTTTTTCTTCCCAAACGGAGCCAAAGAAATGAAAGCATCACAAGCACATGGTCACAATGCCCAATCACAAAAGCAACCAAAACTATCATATATAAAATAACATAAAATAAAAATAAGAGTAAGAGATAAGTAATCAAACAACTGAACAATCACACAAACACAAGAGCCCCAAGTCATAGACAAATACAATTGTCCGACCTGGGGAAATTCTACACAAGGGCAACTACAATATTCACTCAAAGTATTTACCTAAAATTCAATGTGTTACAAGAACTTGCAGAAAAGTAAACTAGAGAAAGTTAAACCTGCACTGAGCTTCAAAAGTGTGGTCTTTTGAGTAGACAAATGCCCAGCTCCATTCTATTTATTCTTGGCTTGCTAGTTACTACCAAGCAGCACAACAAATCTTGAAAGCCTGCACCATCTTCAGCGCTAACAGGGAATGAAATACTGCTGTAGACTTGATTCAGTATCTTCGTCATCCCACTCCAAATGGTTCCACCATTGCAATTTACCTGTTATTTCTTTTATGGTATTCGCATTTTGGATATTGAATGGCAACTTCTTGATTAGATTGCAATTGATCACTTCAAGTTTCTCTAGATGATGCCATGACTGGTGTTTCCCGCACAGGGTTGTTAATTTAGGAAGGTTTTCCAATTTCATTATCCGTAGGTTTGGAGCAAAGCAATTTGGAACCAATGTCTGGCTGGAAGTAGCATGCTCAACAAGCTCCTCTAACAACTTCTCAGATGACTGGCTTGAACTAGCATTCTCAAAGAGCTCCACAAATGCCTCACAAGAGCCAACTGCAACGAATTCTAGATTTTCTAAAGTCAGAACAAAACAAGTAGAAGAGAAAAGATATTTTAAGCGGTTGCAATTGAACACTTTTATTATTCTGAGTCTAGAAAACCTCAGATGGAGATGGTGAACTAGTTCTGAAACGGACTCTAAAATCGCACGACTAAGAGTAAGTTCCTCAAGATTCGGTAATAGGTCAATTTCAGGACCAATTACTCTTGCTGGTTGAAATTTTAGGTCACAATCTGCAATAGTTAGTGATTTCAAACCCCACTAAAATGATACTTTTCAGGCAAGTTCTTAGGCATCTTTTCCAAATTTGAATCTTTCACCAACCACTTCATCCGTTTCTCATATTGAGTAGCCCGACCAGACCACTTCGCTTCTGCTGCTTTTGCATTAGTTGGACCAATGAGACTATGGAATCTTTTTAATCTTTCTATCCAAGAAACATCGTTGAATGCAAGGTTATAGCAATTCAAGTTAATGAATAGAGATCATTCAAGGCATCGTAGCTCATCAAATGGCGTCCGTCCACTTCCTACATCTCCCATTGTATCCCAAGTGTAGAAACTATTTGTCATGTCTATAATTTCTAAATTTGATAACTGGGATATAATTCCATTAGGAATAAATGTCAAGCGAGTTACTGATAGATCTAACAACCTGAGATTGGTTAAATTTTCAATTCCTTCTGGTAATAACTCGAGATCAGTGAAAGAGCAATCAAGCACTTCCAACAAACGAAGATTTCCAACCGGGGGTAATTTCTTGAGTACCAACATCTTCGTAGTATAAGAGCCCGAAGTTTACTCAGCTAGTTGGATAACTGAAAGAGGTAGTGTACGGATGCGAGTTTCACTCAGATTCAAGACATTAAGTGCTTGAAAGCCAAGGAAGAATCCTTCTGGAACTGTCTGGAGAGGAAAATTATGTTGCAGAAGTAAACTTGATACCATTGGAAATTGTATTGTGGAGTCAGGCAGTGCTCTTATGTTGTTGCGCATGAAAGAAACTCGCTTGAAGGATTCTGACAATGTACCCTCTGAAATTTGATTCAAACCAGTTTCAGACTGAACTAGAGACCGATTATTACATCCATCCTTTGAGGAGGATGCAATCCATAGGGCAACATCATGAACTACGTCATGCATCTTCACTGTATCCATATTAGCACCTTTTTCCAATAGGCAAGAATCCTTGAGATTTTCAACCAAAGCAATTCCTCTATTCAGTGAATCCTCGTAGTTTTGCACTTCACCTACCAAACCTTCCGCAATCCAGCATTGCACAAGTTCATTTACTTCAATTGAACAATCCTCTGGATATAATGAGCAATACAAGAAACAAGATTTGATATCCATACATTGGAAAAATAAGGAATCATAACTCCACTTGAGGGGTCTGTACACCTTATTCTCAATTCCTTTGATGCGAGGTACCGACCTTTGCAAAGCATACAAAGCATCCTTCCACAAAGCAGCCTTAGTTGTCTTCCCCCTCATGGAAGCCCCAACAGCGATGATGGCTAGGGGCAATCCACTACATTCTCTGCTAACTTCCCTTGCAATCGGTTGGATACACGGTAGACTGGCTACCATCCCGACATTTTGAGTAAACAGTTGCCAAGATTCTTCCTCGTTTAGAACATCCACTTTAACATCTAGATCCGTCTTCATTTGTCGGCACACATCCAAAGACCGAGTGGTCAATATTATCTTGTTTCCACTACAGGAAATATGAGTTTTGACGACGTTCATTTAATGGCGTTTTATTAAACGCCGTATTTTATAATATTCGACGGCGTTTTTTAAACGTCACTTTTTTAAAATATTAAAACGGTACCGTTTCAATAACAGAAGGCGTCTTAAAGCGCCTTCAAATGTCGTCTCTCTTTCTCCCTTAAATGGGCGAGCCTCTGGAGCCCTAATCTCTCACTCACTCATTTTGTAGCCCTAATCTTTTACTTACTCACTCTCTCGTTCGCTCTCTCTCTCAACCCTCTCAATGGAACGATTCATCTCAATGGATCAATTCATCTCAGAATGATACAATCTCGGTGATTCATCTTGGCTATTTCGATTTTGATTTCGAAGTTCATCTTATTTGGAATCCTCACGGCTTCAAATCTCGCCTCTCTCAACCCTCTCTAAGCCCTTATCATTCTCACAGATTCATCTTTGAGATTCAGAGCTATTTCGATTTTGAATCTCCACCGCCAGCACCGTCTGCACCAGCTCGATTTCTCTGATTTCGATTTCATCTGAATCTCTGATTTCGATTTCGATTTCGAAGCTCCACCGCCACCACCATCTGCACCAGCGAGGTATCGATTTCTCTGTCTCTCACAAGCTCTTCCTTCGTCTCTCTCGATTTGGTTATTGAAATTGAAATTGTAACCAAGAACTATGAAATTGAAATTGATCGATCTGTGATTCCAGTTAAAAGAAAAAATCGATACGTGACTCAAGATTATAATTTTTATTTATTTATTTATTTTTTCAATTGTTGTTTCTTCTTTTGTTTTCTTTCTCGTTTCTTTTTTGGGGGTTGGTGTTTTGATATTTTTGTGGATTTTGTTCTTTAGGGTTTTCAATCGCTGTGAGAAGATAAGCGTCATAATTTTGAATAAAGAGGTACCCTCTCTCTCTCTCTCTCTCTCTCTCTCTCTCTTCCATGACCATCAGTGTTTTGTATGTATTTTGTTTGTGCATGTGAAATTTGTGTATATGTCAAGGATTGGATACATTTTTTTCTGTTGTATGTTTGATTTAGTGAACATTCAATATTTGAAGCATGTAATTTTGGTCAAAGATTGGCTATTCCTTTTCTTTTTTATCTTTTTTTCCCCTTTTCTTGGTGTTCTTGAATTGTCTCAAAGAGAGTCATTTGCAGATTTAATGGCTTAAATTGATGCCCCTTCCACCTTCGAAGTTTTTTTTTGGATTGGCCTTCCATTTTTGAAGTTGATCAAACATCCATATTACAATTCAAAGGATTCTGAAGAGTGAAGAGTAATGATGTGGAGATGATCTTTGTTTATGAAATGAGTCAATTAAGTCATATAAGGCCACTATAGGACATCAATAATCAAACCTATTTGGATATTTGTCCTGTTTTAAGTTATTTGGGCAATGACTTTATGTTACAGGACAATCTTTTGTTTGTATGTTGTAATGGCTAGTGCAATTTGATGCATCAAATTCCATTTTCTTATTTAAACGTTTTTTTAAAGGAGCTTGTGTTGTGATCCCATCATCCCACATCAAAACACAGAGGCCTTGTGAATATAGGTCTGTTTGGACACCCCCCCTTGCAAGCCGATTTTCGTGGGTAAGTTCTACCCATAGGGTTTGTATCACTTTGTCCAAGGTGTCAACACATCTTTACATCTCTCGTACATATGAGAGAGGGAGAGAGAGAGGGGATGAGGAGGAGGAGGAGTTGATTTGTGTCTGAACACATCCTTTTCTGATCTGTTATGTTGAAAAAGTTGAAAGATCTCTGAATATACACTTATCCATTTACAATCCCATATATACACTTTCCTTTTCCAGATTTTCTTTAGCTTGAGGTACAGATCTCCAATCTCTTCACTTTAATATTTGGATTTATTTGTGTATTACATGTTTGTTTATATGCCAAGCTCAAGTTGAAGTTCTCTCTTTATTGTTCTTTGTTAGATTTCTATTTTTTGCCCCCTTTTTTTTCCTAGGTTTTGGAGTGAGAAATTTTGGGCAAGTTTTTGTTTTTGTTTTTTTTCCTTGATTTCTGAGCTGGGTTATATTTATTTTTATTTTTATTTTTATTTTTTGGGTAAAAATTTTATTTTTAAAAAAATTTCGTTTTGTGGTTCTTGCAGATCTCTATAGAAGCTAAGGAGCTTTGATCAGCTCTGTCTTATTCATCACTCTATTTTTTCAGGGCAGGTTAGTTTTGTTTTGTTTTTTTTTTTTTGATGCATAAGATAGGTTTGCTTGCATACATATATACATATATTCCATACATATTGTTTGCTAAAACATGCTAATAGAGTCAATTCATTTTCAGACTAGCACAATACATTGCATGATTAAAAAGGAGTGCCAAAGAAAATAATTATTTCTGAAGGGAAAATAGTACTAAAGTAAATGAACTATGTAAGAAGCAGACCCACATTTTGAAGTTTCAATGGCCACATGTTGAACTCTCATACTACGAAATTAGTACTATTTAATTCAAGTCTACTGTCTGTGGTTCAAATTACCTCAAAGTTTACTGTCTCCTGTTCTCTTTATATCCATGTGTGACAATAATTCAAGACATATAATAAATATTTAATTAACAAAACCATATTTGATGTCTTGAACTGTTACAGGTTTGTACTCTTTCAAGCCCACTCATATGTGCTCTCTACTTTAGTCAAGCAGTATGAGTTTTAATTGTTGAAACTAAGCTCTTCACTGTTAACATGTTATAATGAAAAGATAAGTGATTTCTAAAATGGGTTTAGGCGGCGTTTTTTTAAACGCCACGTTTATTAATATTTAACGACGTTTTATAAATACATTGCATATTCCTGTTCTCTTTATATCCATGTGTTATTTCCAGGCCTCGCTGAATTGCTCTCTTTGTTGAGCCCTATCCCTTTGCGTGAGTATCTAATTCTAATTTTGGATTAGTTTATACGAGAATCTTTGTGTATCTATTGTTTTGTTAATCCAAAGTTGAATCTATGGTGTGGATTAGATTTGGAATAAAGCTGTAAAGTTTGTAACATTTTGTGCAAAAATCTTGGTGGGATCTATAGATTAGGATTGCTTAAATTGGATTTGTTTCTTATAATGAAAGTCTGGCAATGTGCTCTAGTATGGGGTTTAGTTATAATTTGTTTGTTTCTCCAATTACATTGGTAGCTTAAGGTCATTTAACAGTAAATTGTAGCCGTGTACGTGACTTGGTTAGCTTTCTAACTTAGCTGTTGTTTGATGTGTGGAGTTATAACATCAACTATAACTCTGATAGGTCTTTTGTAGCCTGACTTGGTTTCATTAACCTCTCTCCTGTTTTCTGTTGAATTTGCAGTTACGTGTCCGGGTATAAAAATCGATTCCAGAATTTTATTAGATATCTACGAGAAATAGGAGATGAGGTAAATTCCAGGGGTTCTGGTATTTTATACACAAATATATCCTTCATTTTCAGTGGACTGCTAATGTTACATTATTTTCTAGATGTAGTGATCATGTGACAATGGCTTATCTGGACCTGTTCCAGACAATGGCTCGTTTTCACTATTCACTCCCATCAGGTTTCTTGTTAGAGAGAATGTTGTTCTGTAGTGTCCTTGTCCTTGAATGATTGATGTAAAATGCTATGCTAATTTTTGTGTACCTTCTGCAGTTTTGCCAGTTTTTCCACCATCAACAATCTCTTCTCCAAGTAATGTCTGTTATTATGGCTGATATTGCTATTTATTGTTTGGCTCAATGAATTTTGCTGTGGTTTTTCTTCCCATTTGGTCATCATGGACAAAGAAAACTTTTCTATGCTACTATTATTTTCTAGAAGCAGTCTATTAACTGCACAGATCCATAATTAAGAATTTAGTTTGCCAATGTTACCCCAAAAGTTGTGTGAGTTAATGCCTACTAGCTATATTTGAAGTACCTAATAGTTAATAGGATTTAAAGTATGAGGTCCAATGTTTGGTCTAGGAAGAGCTATAAATTGAGTTATAACTGCTTAATCCGCTCTTACATTAGGGAAAAGAAAAAAAAACTATCCATGGAACATTTGAACAGCTTGTGAATGCTCACAAAAGTTCAATTCCCGTCGTGGATCCTACAATTAATCAAAATAAAAGTGAAATTCAGTCACAATACATGGATAGAATGGAAGAGACTAGAGGGTCCTACCTTACTAAAGAAAATAGTGAGGGGGATATTTCTGTCAAAGGTCTGCCAGGAATACAACTGACAGAAGAAGAAGAGAAGGAAATTGGCAATGTTGGATGGAAGCCATTTTTGGATTACATCCTCGTCTCAAAGGGATCGTTGATGCTTTCTTCAGTTATAATTACTCAGATTGGTTTTGTTGCTCTTCAAGTTGTTTCAAGTTATTGGCTAGCTTTCGGCATTCAAATTCCTAAAATTAGTAGTGGCATCTTAATTGGAGTATACACTATAATTTCGACAATAAGTACCTTCTTTGTATATCTAAGGTCTTTATCCGCTGCTTTTCTAGTATTAAAAGCTTCCAAGGCTTTCTTTTCAGATCTCACTAATTCTATTTTCAATGCTCCTATGCTCTTCTTTGATTCCACCCCAGTTGAACGAATTTTGACCCGAGTAAGATTTTATTCTTCTTCAATCAATTCTAAAGTAACCATAGTATTTGTGTATCGTAGTGAAGTGTGATGTATTGCTTAGCTAGTTACTGATATGCACTTTTATATACATGCTTGTTATATGTAGGCTTCATCAGATTTATGTGTGGTGGATTTCGACATACCTTTCTCATTTGCCTTTGTGGTTGCTCCTTTAATTGAATCGGGTAACAATCATTGGCATTATGGCGTCAGTCACGTGGCAAGTTCTCTTTGTAGCATTCTTTGCTACAGTGGCTTCAAAATATGTTCAGGTGAGTTTCATTTTCCAACTTAATAGTAATATTTTTCTTATTTTCATCGATGAAAGGAAAATTTTAATTAAGAAAATTCTTTATTGACTCAAGGGATATTATCAGGCCTCTGCAAGGGAACTAATGAGAATCAATGGAACAACAAAAGCACCTGTCATGAATTATGCAGCCGAGACCTCACTTGGAGTGGTAACTATAAGAGCATTTAACATGGCAAACAGGTTCTTCCAAAGCTACCTAAAGCTTATAGACAATGATGCAAAACTTTTCTTTTACTCCAATGCAACCATGGAGTGGTTAATTTTGAAAGTAGAAGCACTTCAAAATCTAACTTTATTCATTGCTATTTTTCGCTTGGTTTTACTTCCCAAGGGTTATGTTGATCCAGGTATATCCATGGTTCAGTGGAATAATTCATTTATTGCTTAGAAATTTTCTTTTAGATTCTTAAAACATGTCTATTTTTGCAGGGCTTGTTGGACTCTCTCTTTCTTATGCTTTGGCTTTGACAAGCACCCAAGTGTTCATGATTCGATGGTATAGCAGCTTGGCTAATTATGTTATTTCAGTGGAACGAATCAAACAGTTTATGCACATACCTCCAGAGCCTCCAGCAATTGTGAAAGATAGAAGGCCACCATCTTCATGGCCTTCTGAAGGGAGGATAGAGTTACAGGATCTAAGGGTAAGGGAACTTATTATTGCTTCCACCTGTTTATATAGATGATATTCAAGCATATTCATCAAAAAACAATCAATTAATCTTGTGAGTGGCTACTGGCTAGAACTTTTTGGACTACGGAACCAATGAAATTTCACGCGCAATCTAAAAACATATAAATCCTTTCATATGGATTGGGGTGTTGATCTTCTTTAAACAAACTTTCATGTTCCTCTCTTCATTTTCTTTAATGTATATTGTTCGAGTTGCTCAGTCTTGTCTAATTGTTGCAGAGAAGATGGGCTGAGATAGAAATGGAATGGTGAACTTCAAGGAATTTCTTTTTGCTTTCACCCATTGGGTTGGTATTGATGATATCGAGGCTGATGAAGAAGGGAAAGGAAAGAGAATGTCTGAATTCAAAATTTTAAGGCATTGTTAACTGTCTATCAACAGTGATTATGACCTGCACAGCTTAAGCTTCTCAGATCTGTCAAAACCGCAACAAGTTGAATATATAAACATGCAGGATCAAATCACAATTCTTCCCTAAAGTTTGTATTGTAAATAGTCTTAAATTGAATGGATATTGGATATGAAATTGAATTAATGGTGATTGGATATTAAATTGAATGGAAAAGTGAATTAATGTTCTATTTTGAATGGGAGTTATTATTTCATATTAGTGTTATTTTTTAGTTTTATTACAGGTATTTTTTTAGTTTAATCACATAAAAATAGCACAATTTAAAAAAAAAAAAAAGAGGCTATCGCGGCGTTTCTAAAAACGTCGCTAAATATCAAGCCAACGGTTAGATTTTTTTAAAAAGAGATACGACGACGTTTTAAAAACGTCACTAAATACTATGGTGATGCCATGTTACTGTTAGAACTTTTAGCGGCATTTAAAAACGCCGCCTATAGTGATATAGCGACGATTCTAAAGCGTCATAAACTTATAGCGACGGCCGCATCTTCGACGTTTGGTGCAAAATGCCACAAAATGATTTGACGGCGTTTTTTAAACGCCTCTAAAACCTCTATTTCTAGCAGTGTTTCCATAGGGAATTCTGGTTGCGGTTGTGGTTGTGGGACACCTAAATCATCCAAATCAATTGCCTCCCAGACATCATTTAGGGGTCGTTTGGGGTGTCCTAAATAAGTGTACTTTTTGTCTTTTTGGACTAAAAAGTTAAGGGAAAAAATATGGATGTTTGGGTTAACTTTTTGACTTTTCATAAAAAAATGTGTAATAAAAAATTGTAAAAATTGATTTGTAGAGGAAAATTAGGATTGGGAATTGTGCAGCCATAATTGTTGACTTTTGGTGAATAGTGTTAACTTTTTAATTTTTTGAGTAACTTTTTAACTTTTTGGCTTTTTTTACGTACCTCAAACTTGGCCTTAGAATGAGGAGGAATCTTTTCTCCATTTTAAGTCGTTCATGAAGTCGGCTTGCTGTACTCTTCATACTTTCTCCTGCTTTTACCTCCAAATTCAGTCGGTTCAGAAGTTGTGTTTGGAGCCTTTCCAAGTTGAATTCCTTGGAGACAGTGACGCATATAATGATGCTGAAAGGTTGAGCAGCAGCAGGAGCAGTCTCAAGCTTGTTGTTCAAGTTGTTTACCAGAGCAGTCTTGCCAACTCCTCCCATACCCCAAACCCCAATCCGACTTGCACCACCACCACCACCAGCAACATCATCATTCAACAAATTCATAACTTTCATTAGATTTTCATAAGCAGTTGACTGACCTGTGATTGAAGGCCCCGGGATGTGCTCGACTTTTTTCAATTGGTAGTTTTCAACCACCATGCCTGAAGGAAAACTGGCAGCTTCTATGAGTCTTTTAACCTCGATGAGGTTCTTTTCTACACCCAATACACAAGGAAAGCAGCAACTTGGAGCTGGAAAATGTATACCTTTATTTTTGCGGTTCGATTCTATACTTGCTTCTATTGAATTCACTTCATTCTTTATGTCTTCAAGCTCTTCAAGCCACTTGATCACTGCTGGTGCCACCATATGGCCACTTCTCTCTGCTGCCTCGATCTGTCCTTTCACGTTGTGTTGGTTCATTTTAATATCATTCATTTATTTATTTAGTTATTCATTTTGTTCATGATTCTTCATTGGTTCTTATTTATGAATTTTATCTTGTTCATGAATGGAGATTCATTACTTTGGTTTTGTTCATGAATTAATATTAATTATAATTCATGAACTTGGCTGTGAATTCTCCCTTTTCTCTAGGTTCATGGCCATTATTATTGTTGATGTATTTTGTAATGTCCTTGAGGCCTATAAATAGTTTCCTCTTCTAATCTTTTCTTTAACAACAAATCAACACATCAACTATTTTTCTATACTTGAGAGATTACAAGCAAAGAAGGGTGTTTTTCTTGGTAGAGCTTTGGGTTCACCATCTTGTGCAGAGTTGGCTTGAACCATACGACAAGTGGTCAGGCTGTTGTATTCTGGAGGGGACAGGTCATAGTTTTGTGACTGCTGCATCGGTATTTTGGGTTCTTCCAACCGCAATGGGCTTGATCTCCTTAAGGAAAACGAGATATCCGTGTCTCAACCTGATCTATTTGTATCTCTTTTTCTTTGCATTATTTATCAATAAAATATATTTTTTCTGATATTTCATCAACAATTTTAAGGAGATCAAACCATGAATCAAGTACTAGAAAAAACCAATGATGGAATTGGAGATCTCAACAAGCCTTTCAAGTTCAAGAGAGTTCATTTTAAGAGGTGAAAAGGAAAAGTACTTTTTTACCATTGTCTTTTGAAAGTTGCATATGCTCTTATCAAGAAGAACCCAAACAAAATCCCAACCGAGGAAATGAATGATGAAGACTACGAGGCACGTGAAGCAAAAGCGGCTTCCTATAATAAAGATAAGTATAAATGTCGCTTTTATCTCTTAAATTTTGCTGATCAATTTTATGATTACTATGACACTACTTATACTTTGTCTTCTATTAATTTTTTGGCATGCTCATTTGTGTCATATTAACAGTAAATATATGTGAATCATGAGTAGTTTAAGATTAATTCCTAAAGTGACAAAAAAATTTAAGAAATGTGAAGTTTGCAGTAAAGCAAAAATTACCAAGAGGCCTCATAAAAGTGTTGAAAAAAATACCGAATTGCTAGAATTATTTCATAATGATTTGTGTGAGTTTGAAGGAATTTTAACTCGGGGTGGTAACCAATATTTTATCATTTTTATTGATGATTTTTCAAAATACACAAATGTATATTTATTAAAAAATAAAAGTGATGCTTTTGAGAAATTTAAAGAATTCCTTATTGAAGTGGAAAATCAATTCGGTAAAAAGATTAAGAGAATTAGAAGTGATAGAGGCCGGGAGTATGAATCTCTTGGATTCAACTCTTTTGTTTAGTCATTGGGAATTATTCATGAGACTACTCCACCATATTCACCTTCATCTAATGGCGTAGCTGAAAGAAAAAATAGAACATTAATTGATTTGACGAATACTATGCTTATTGATTCAAGTGCTCCCTCAAATTTTTGGGGCGAGGCTGTTTTGACAGCTTGCCATGTGATAAATAGAGTGCCACATAAAAAGACTAAAATTGTACCTTATGAGTTGTGGTGGGGGTGTAAACCAAATCAAAGTTATTTGAGGGTTTTGGATTGTTTAGCTTTTGTGAGACTTGCAGATCCTAAACGACCTAAATTGGGTGAACGAGCTACCACCTGTGCTTTTCTTGGGTATGCTTTGCATAGTACAGCTTATAGATTTTTTGATATGGAAAATAATATTATTTTTGAATCAGGTGATACTGTTTTTCATGAAAATAAATTTCCATTCAAATCTAGAAATAGTGGGGGTCAAATAATTTCTGAAAATATTTTATCCATGCCTAGCTCTTCTACTCATTCTCAAGTTTTTCAAGAACAATAAAATTTTCAAATCCAACCAAGGAGGAGTAAACGAGCCAGAGTTGAAAATGAGTTTGGCCCTGACTATTATCTTTACAATGTGGAAGAAATTTCTCTTACAGTGCAAGAAGCTTTATCATCACCTGATGCTATTTTCTGGAAAGAGACTGTAAATGATGAGATAGATTCACTACTTTCAAATAAAACATGGAGCTAGTGGATTTACCTATAGGTTGTAAAACTATTGGATGTAAATGGGTCCTTCGTAAAAAATTTAAACTGGATGGAACTATAGATAAATATAAAGCGAGGCTTGTCGCTAAAGGTTTTAAGCAACAAGTTGATCTTGATTTCTTTGATATTTTTTCTCCGGTTACTAGAATTACATTCATTAGACTGTTGATAGCTGTGGCTGCAATTCATGATTTAAAAATTCATTAAATGGATGTGAAAACAACATTTTTAAATGGAGATCTAGATGAGGAGATTTACATGGACCAACCCGAAAGCTTTGTGGAGCCTGGCCAAGAAAGCAAGGTGTGTAAGGTAACTAAATCTCTTTATGGTTTAAAACAAGCTCCTAAACAGTGGCATGAGAAATTTGATTCCTACATGCTTGAGAATGGCTATAAGACTAATGAATGTGATAAGTGCATATATTATAAAACTTGTGAGAATGCACATGTGATTGTTAGCCTATATGTGGATGATCTACTTATCTTTGACTCTAATTTGCTTATTATAAATGAGACTAAAAATATGCTTAATAGCCACTTTGATATGAAAGATCTTGGTGAAATCAATTTCATTTTGGGAATTAAAATTACCAAGACTAATGATGGTATTTTTCTTGATCAGTCGCATTATGTTGAGAAAATTTTAAAGAAATATAATTTTCTAGACTGTAAACATGTTACTACTCCTTTTTATGCAAGCATACATTTATCTATTGTAACAAATGAAAAAGAAGTGATTAATCAAAAGGAATATGCTAGCATGATTGGTAGTTTGAGATATGCTACTGACTATACTAGACCTGACATTGCATATGCTGTTGGAGTACTTAGCAAATTTACTAGCAAGCCAAGTCAAGATCATTGGCTAGCCATGGGAAGAATTATGAGATATTTATCTGGTACCAAAAATTATGGTTTGTTTTATCACAAGTATCTCACGGTACTTGAGAGATATAGCGATGCCGATTGGAACACTTTGTCAGGTGATTCTCTCTCTACCTCGGATTTTATTTTTACCTTGGGTGGTGGTGCTATATGTTGGAAGTCTAAAAAATGGACTATAATTGCTAATTCTACAATGGAAGCTGAGCTTATAGCGTTAGCTTCAGCATGTGAGGAAGCGAATTGGTTAAGAGATTTCTTACATGAAATTCCTTTTTGGGAAAAACCAATTCCTCCTGTGTTAATTCGTTGTGATAGCACTGCTGCTATTGGTAGAGTGAACAACCATTTTTATAATGGTAAATCTAGACCTATTCGAAGGAAACACAATAATGTGAGATCCTATTTGAGTAATGGCATCATAACTGTGAATTATGTAAGATCTTGTGATAATCTTGCTGATCCGTTAACCAGGGCCTTGGCAAGAGATAGGGTCTGGAATACATCGAGGGGGATGAGTTTGAAGCCTAT